AAAAACAAGAGACGTGCTTTTTTTAAATAAATAAATAAAGAGACATTTTCACTTTTTTGTAGTATTCAGCATATTACTATATGTATGTTCTGTGCGAGAGAAAAATGGCTTTTATTTATTAGTTTTTAATCATTTCGTTTAAAACAAATGAACAAAACAGTTTCTAAGAAAATTCTTTACTAACTCAAAGACTGTACTTAAGTAAATCTTAAGGTTTTAAAATATTTCAGGTAAAAATACGAGCATCATCTTCATTTTAAATGCTTATCGGAAGGAATCATTTTTGTTTCTGGAAATTTTTAAAATAATTTCTGTTACTTTTTTTTCTCTTTCTTTTTTCAAGAAAAAAAAGCTACACTGTTGGCATAATTCTGCATAATATAAAGTTCCCAAATTGAAATTTCATTTAAAAATAGTGTGTTTAATTGTACGAATATTATGTAATAAGGTATAGTGAATCCCGAAAATACCGCTAATTTCAGAAATCAGTTTAAAAGACGGGAAGGGGTTAGAATGTACGTAATTGCTCAGGAAACAAACTTTTTTTCAAGTTTTAAAATTTAGTTACAAAATATTTCAATGGATGGTGCTCCTGATTGATAACATAAAGGAAAAGGTTTTCTACTTTATGTCAGTTAATACCACTAACCAAAAATATTTGCATGGGTGTGCATTAATTCTGTCTCCAGTCTACGGCTATAAATAGTAACTGGTTTTAAAAAATCGTTTTCCAGTCAGCAGTCCAATATTTTAACGAACTTATTAAGTACCCAGATAGCACTTTATGTAGCAGCAACTTTTATCACAATCCCACAACATGGTTTATAAATAATTAGCGGAAAAAAACATACAGTTAAATTTATCTGCGCTTGTTTACGCGCAATTGAGTTCGATATAAGCTTGCATAAACAGTCATCGTATATCGAGATTGAATTGAAAAACACTATACATAATCATTAAAAAAATGTCACATTTGAGAACTATAACATATATAGGGGGAAAAAAAGCTCACACGCAAGGTTGCAATTATATTTTTTGTAAAAATTTATGTATACCTTTTTCTTTTATCTTTAAAAAAATAAAATTGGTCTTGTAATATTTCTGCTTTGTTAAAATTAACCAGTCAACTTTATTTTAACCATCAAACCACAAATACAACGTTTGCCGTAAGATTTCTTGCTATCTGAATATATTTTCCAAGCTTAGTTTCCTTAACAGAAAGCAGCTAACTGTTTAGTTCTACTTTCTTTTGCTTACCCTTAATTTAGTTTTATTTATCTGTTTTTTGGGAATTTTAAGTTGGTGTTATGTTCAGAAGTGTGGAAAAGAGATAAAAAATATTCAACTCCGATTTCTTTTAATAATGTAAAATGACCGTGTACTTTCAGAGATCTAATATGATGTTTTCTGTAAATGGTATGAGCTTCGGCAATCTTAGAGGACTGGATATGTGTTTGGGAGACAAAGTAGGTTGGCACGTCGTCGGAATGGGTAATGAAGTTGATGTTCACAGTATCAGTTTCGAAGGCCAAGTCTTCACAATAAATGGAATGACGTAAGAACAGTACCTTGATACTATCTTAGGGCACGGGGCAGCACAATGATAAGCCAGACTTTTCTTCAAGGTGACATTTTGACATCAACCTGCTGTTTTGTATTTTTTCCTGATCGGGCATAAAGTTTCCCTTTAATGACAGCAAAATAAACGAAAACATATTTTGGCCTACACGGAAATTTTAACACCAATAACTCGCTCCGAAAACCTTTGAAAATGTGGCTTATCATTTTATTGCCCCAAGCTCTTATCAATTCCATTTTTAATTCATTTTTACTTAAGTTATAAAGTTATAAAGTCTTTCAATAAACAAATTTCAGATCATGAGATCAAAGACTGTTTTTTTTAATAAATTATATCATATAAATTATATCATATAATTATATTATACCTTATATTAAGCATGATTTCATTTAAACTTCAAAAGATCATAGCTTTCAGCAAAGAATCTAATTTTTTTTTTCAGATCTGATCAAAGAGAATTTTAACTTGTTTCACCATTTACTTGCATTCAGAAAGCTATTAACAATACTTTCAGATTCATTGGTTTTTCGACATTTTGCATCATCTATCTATATGTAAAATTTTAAATCTCTTTATTTTACAAATAAATGGACAAACATTGCTAAATGATCATTTTTTGGTAATTTTTCAACTGACTGTACGTCAGTTTAGGTTTAATAACAAATGTTTATTGAAAATATACGACTTGTACTTAAATGAGATACGCGTACATCCTTAGAAGTAACTTTTTCTTAAATTTTATTTAAAAATTTTTAACAATAAATTGACACCAATTATTTTATCACTATATCTATCTAATAATGTTTAAAGTGTGTTTATACTATTCCATTATATTTTAGAACTGAAATCATTAGCGTTTTCCCTGCTAAGTTTGTAACAAGTCTGATGATAGCTAGCAGAGAAGGTACCTTTCCATTTAGGTGTGAAGTCGGTTTGCATGGATTAGGTAAAAACCTTTTTTCTTAAAATTTCTATTTATCACTAAGTAAACTGATCAAATCTCCACTTTTAATACAATCTCCACAAAACTAAAGTTATTTTAGCTACTAATATCATTACTGTGAAAACTTTTTATAAAAATAAGAAGGAAAAAACTCAAGAATCTCTGTTACATTGCACACGTCTTTTTCCAAGCGTTATAACATGGTTACTCCTTAACAGAGATACAGAAAATGTCGCATTTTCTCTATGCGAACCTTGCTGTGTGCAAAATTATCTCTTTTTCTTTGTCTGTAAAGAGACTATTTCTCAAATACTTAAATATATTGCTATTTAATTCATACGTAAGTAAACGCCCATTTAGCATTAGGGATAGAGATTTCGCCTACTAATGATTCGGCAGCGGTTCGATCCCCTGTGTTAAAACTTTTGCTATTAACACTTTCAACATTAAAGCTTTTGCTAAAATATAAACTCCACTTACCCACCAGTGGTACACCGCAACATCACCTGGCACCCTTCTGGGAATCAATTGCTATCGAAGCTCCCAGACTGCTTTGGCCAGATTCTCAACTGTCACCTAAAATGTCTAACATTCAAATGTGGCACAAAAATTTATCCGACTTATAAAAAATGCTGTGTCTATCCAGCCTTACCGAAACATATACTTGAATGTGTCGGACTATCCAGGGTGGACTTAACTTCCGATCCCTTTCTTGTCATCGACTTTCTGGCTGTCAACAACCTTTTGGAGTTGATCTGACTAATATCAGATCGATGAGGATAAGCAACAACAACTAAACTTTTGCATGTGAATGATTAGCACTTTCTCTGATCGTGTCTCAGCATGTTGGATTCTACTGAAATGTAATGTCCCTGCCCGTTTCAGAACCGGAAAAGACTTTGTCTTAAAGTTGGGATGTAATTTACTGAGTTCAACTAACTTATCACTGAATCGCTTGTGAATATTTTATCATAATTTTGCAGAAATTTTTATTTTAATTGTCTATAATTTTCAATGAGACATCTGATAAATGAATTTCAATAGATTCTCAAGTAAAAAAAAAAGTTTGTTTTCTTATATTAAAATGCAATGTACCATTTAAGCAATTTGTATTTCTGTATTACTTTATTGTTCATACCTAACGTGGTCAAAGTAAAGACAAATAATGCATTTCTCTTTAGCTGGTATGGAATCAGTATTTTCTATCAGCCGTTGTCCACATTCCAGACCAGTTGTTACAAATCTGAATGGTGTAACAAGAAATTATTACATAGCTGCGGAGGAAGTTGAATGGAACTATGGGCCATCAGGAATAAACAAGTTTAATGGTGTACCATTAGTAGAAGATAGGTAGGTACTAAATTTTTTTGTTTTTGTTACTAAAAACATTAACTTTAAAAATAGTGGTTAATGTACTTCAGAATCACACTAATTTGTTTTGCCAACAGCAAAATTGCTTTGACAACGATTTTCTTCACGTCTCCACGTTCCTTTTTGAAAAATAATTAATTTTTTTCGTTTGTTCTGCTTTATTTAAAATCTGAAATATACAGTCCAGCTAAGTTTAAAATATTTTGCCAGTTCCATTTCAATTTTGGAGAACTGTGCAAAGAATGAAAGAAATTAACAATTACGTCCAAAGTTTTAGCTGCTTTTCTAATTAAATTTTTGGGACCATAACTTCTGGTGGGACTTAACAGCAAGGGAGGAACTGAGAAAGATATACTAAATAGATTAAACAAAGCCCGAAGCAGTTGTGCTATTCTCAATAAATTTTGGAAAAACAAAAGCAACAAAAATTAGAATTTTCAATACTAATATTAAATCAGTTCTACTATCTGGATCTGAGACATGACACTACAATAAAAATAACAAGAAAAAACTTCAAACACTTATTATCAACTTTAAAGAAGAACCTTGCTTTTTTAAGTGGTTCCGTAAAATTTGTAGTGCAGAAATCCTTAGAAAAGCAAAACGGAAACGATTGATCTGGAAATTTTAAAAAAAACTTACATGGAAACGGATTGGTTATGTTCCATGTAAACCTAAAAAATTTAAAGCAAAACAAGCTTTTAATTGGAACCCTCAGGGCAATAGAAGAAGAGGAAGGCAAACTACTATTGTGAACGAATTGAAAGCAATAGGAAAGACATGGAGAAAGGCAAAATATCTGCCCACAAATAGAGTGAAATGGAAAGTTATGATAGAAGGCCTATGCTCCTATTCAGAGTGTGTATATTTTCCGGAATTCTGCTATTCCACATTCTGTAAGAATGAAAAATTCAAATCTGAGTATGGTATGTATAATCTGAATAATAGCTATTCAAAGAAAGTACGTATTTGTGTCTGGCTTCATAATTTAAAATATCATCCGATTGTGTATTTAAGGTTACCCATTTGAACAATAAGGTTGATTCTTGTGTATGTAAAAACGTGATCTGAAGGCATTAATGTGATCCGTTTCTTTCTTTTTTTTCTCCTTTCTTTTCTTGAGCCCTTAAATATTTATTCTTACAATTTTTTATTTTACTTAGCATGATGGTAACTGTTCAAAATTATGCAGCAATTCGTTTCTTTAATCTGAGGATCTTAATTTTAAAAATTTCGCCCCTAGATTATAGACAACGACCTACTAAAATATTTTGGTCATCAATCGTTGAAACAAATTTATGCCAGTAAAACTATCTTAAGAATACGGGTATTTTCGTAAAAAAAGATTTAGTCGTTTAATTTAACGGTCAACTTTACTAATCTTGATGAAACTCGTTACAATTAAGGGCACTGAGCATTTTTTCTCAAAGGAAGAAGCTGGCCGCACGCATTAATAGTTAAGCTCTGTACCGTCTTGGTTTTTTTTGTCGCATTTTTGAATATGTATCATGTGAGAACGATGAATGGTATTCCTTACAAAATAATAAACATTTCTAATGTACATTTAATTTTTAGAGCTGCTTCCATTTTCTTTGTACGAAATGAAACAAGAATAGGAGGAACATACAGAAAGGTTGTTTATAGAGAATATAGTGATGCATCCTTCACGCTGAAAAAAGTTCGGGGTGAAGATGAAACTCACCTTGCAATGTTAGGACCTACCCTCAGGGGAGAAGTTGGTGATGTCATCCGAGTCACATTCCTCAACGCAGCCACTAAGCTGTATAATATGCATACCCATGGAGCTTTTTACGAACCAGGTACATTTTTACTTTGATTGTTAATGTTCGTTAAGTAAATAGAAATGCAGTAATATTTATTTTTTTTTTTGAAAAAATTGTTTAAATTATTTAAATTGTGCAAAACCTACAAACTGATGTACCTGATAATAGGAAAACTTACTTGACTTCAAAAATTATTTATGTGAACAAATGACAAACATTATGAGCGACTAAATATTGTCAACTTGAAAATTTTATGTTGCTGTTGTTAAAACACAAAAACTAGAACTGTAACACAACTCTACTTTAGTAAAAAAAAACAGCGTTATTAAACTTAACAACGTTTTATTATTTTAAACATAACGAAAGCAAAGCAACGAAGCATTATACCAAAGAAAACAAACTGAAACTAAAACATAAATACAAACTGAAACTAAACAAAAACAGTTAATATACAGTCATAGTTAACCTAGCTGATGCGTCAGAAACTACATCAGTGGCATAACTAGATCACCCATCGAAACTAGATCTCTGTTTAATTTAGGATCTAGTTCATCGCTTTCAACAGTTGTCGCTTAAAATCGTCAGTACATGAATCATGACAATTTTCCTATCTAACTCTTTTTCAACGATAAATAATTTTACAAGCATTATCCATAATCTATAATAATCGTTACCGATTATTCTCATTATTATTGTTAACGAATTCGTTGTTGATAATGATCGCTTAATATCGACGTCGATAGTTGCAATATATTCCATGTCATTTGAAAGACGTACGCAGCAGTATTCACCATATATAGCAGGATTATCTGTTCTAAATAATGGGCTAAATAACGTGGGATTATTCGTTTGATGAACTATCGCTATCTCCCGAAACTAGCATTGTCATCAGAAGCTCCAATAGAGATTTCAGTGTCCAGACAGTGAAAAACTGGTCGAAGTTTCGATTAAAAGACCACACTCTCCAGGACCCAAAAACCAGTTAATAAAAATGCATTAACCCCTTAACATAAAAGTGCCTATTTTTTTAATCACATATCACAAATACACGTATTTGATTAGTGCTGACATCTAGCTTAAAATAAACTAACTATCTACAATTACCTTAAAAATATCCTGGTACTGCCATCAGGTGTGCAAAATGAGAAATAAAATGTTTTCCGGGCAAAAGAAATGAATTAGTTTTATTCTTATTGGCGCGTTACTACTGAACACTCCAACCCGTCAATTTCACGGGAGCGAGAAACAGAGGGCGAAACCTCACTCCGTCATTTTCAAGGGAGCGAGAAGGAAGGGGTTAATAAAATAAAGAAAAACAATTTTTAAAAAATGCTTGAAAACTATTAGATTTTATGGATGCGTAAAATAGAATAATTTTTGCATTTATAAAATGTAATTTAAATACATATTAAGTAATCTTTCATGCGAAGTTTACTTTTCCAAAGTGTGAGAATTATTCAACATCCATAATTATACATTCTCTTTTCTAGAAACGCTGCCTGTCGAACCTGGCACCACTAAAATTTACACATGGACAGTAGCAGAGCAATACGGACCAACCCATACAGATCCAGAATGTTTAACGTGGCGATACTATTCAAGTGTGGATGTTGAACGTGATATGTGGGATGGTTTAAGTGGTAAACTTTTAACATGCAGGAAAGGAACACTTGATAGGAGTGGAAAACAGGTAATCATCCATTTACACTTTTATTATTTACCTTAATTATAAAAAAATACCATCTTAAATCTGAATGATATATATTTCTTAAATGAAATTGCCGCCGACAGGCCTGTGTATTGGGCAGGGAACTGTCCTTGCATCAGAAAGGTCCTGGGTTCGAATCCCGGGCAAGGCATGGATGCTTCTTTCTCTCTGTGTGTACCTTTCTCCTTCGTATGTGAATGTGTGTGAATGTGACCCTCCCTATAAACGGATTGTGGTTGTGTGAATGGCGTGGCAGAAGTCGAATTCCTGGCCATAGATGGCGCCACTGAGAAACAGGAACAATCGCGCCACCACTGCCTAAACAGGCATACGACCAAAAAAAAAAATGAAATTACCAAAAATATATTATATCAAAAGTGGGAATATTTGTAGAATATTCTTAAAAATTTAGAGAAAATCACTAATAATTATTTAAAAAAATATATAATTTTAATGAAATACTAAAAATATTTAATTTGATTTTTGAAGATAAAAGGAACATAAAACCTGTTCTAACAGGAACATAAAACGTGTTGTTTAAGCAAAGGAAAAAATATTCTGGTAAAATTACCGTGGTGTATGGTACAGACATTTCTGGTTAAAAAGAAAATATATAATCCAGGTAATAAAACCAAAATATATGGTATTTAAACTATTTGTTCGTAGTTTCTTTACCTAAAAGGTAACGGTTTACCGAAAAATTTAGTTTTCAAAATTATAATTCTTATTACCATACACTTAGTAACAAAAACTAAACTTAAAACTGAACCGAATAAATGGTTTAAATTCAGGCTATAAGGTATCATGATTAAATTATCAAATTTATAAAACAATATTTAATTAATGATTTTACCAAAATCATATCCAAAGCTTTTCGGTAAAAATTGCTGCGTTTTTAATGCCCTCATAGAGCCAGAAACACAGTAAATTTTACCATATTATGGTAGTTTTGACCATACTTTCTTTCTCAGGGCTCTTAGAGAGAGAAAAATTGTTAAACACTCTCAATTAATTATTTTTCCTCCATGACTTAAATCTACACCTAATAAATTAAATTAAATTAATAATAAAAAGTAGTGATAATAATCAGTAATAAACAAGTAGCAGCTAAATAAATAATAAAAAAATATGTTATTTTAATAAAACACTAAAAACATTTAAACTGGTTTTTGAGGATAAAAAGAATATTGAACATATAGTGTTTACTTATTAAAAATGCGAAAATTATTAAAACTCTCAATTAATAATTTTTTTTCGGCGTGACTGAAATTTACACATGAACAATAGCAGAGCAATATGAGCCAACTCCAGCCAGTACCAGTTTACATCAGTTACAGTTACATCATTTACATCATTTACATCCAGCCAGTTTACATTGTTGTGTTGCACTTTTAAGTGTTAATTTCGATCGTGACGCGTGGGATGGTTTAAGCAATAAACTTTTAACGTGTTGAAGAGGAACTGTCACTAAATATGATAAACCGGTAAATATTTATATCTTTATAACAAAAAGTATTAATTTACTGAAAAAAATCTTCAAACATAAAGAAACTAATCGTTTTAGAGTTCATAATTTTGGTCTTTATTGTTCAATAAATACTCAATAGGTCAACTTTACTTTTAAAGTTTTCCTTGTTGTTTTCATGCGCTTGTTTACAAATATGCTAATTAGTGCAACCCTTTTTTCCCCCTGAATCACGAGCAACGATGTCAAGGCAGTTATGAGAAAGAAACGACCGAATTCGAGGCGTATTTGAATAACGCATAATTGTTTAATGTTGATTTTAAGGCAAAAATAAATAAAAGGTATTTCATCGGGAAAACCATCACAATTAAATAAAAAGCTTTTTTAAAATGATTTCGCAGCAGGTATAATTTAATCATAAAATAAAAAAACTGATAAATTGAAAGCTTCGAGTCAACAGAAAAAAAATATGACGTACATTGCAAAATTACTTAAAAAAACTTTCTTAGCTTGACTAATTGATTTAAATTTGGGTAAATTATGCTCAAGGGAGCATAAAATGCTTTAAATTACTAAAAAGAAATATTGAATATTTTAGTTTATTTTTGACTTTTTATTTCATAATTGAAATTTCACATGTGGTCTGGAATGATTCAAATAATTTCAATACTTTTCTTATAAGTATTTAACCTACATATTTTTTAGAATAACATTAAAAAGCGAGTTTTGCTAACAAATAATCATGCATCTTTTCACCATGAATAGCAAAATGTATGCTAAATAGTAAAATTTAAATCATGATGTAACGCCTAACAATTAGGAAGAAGTTGAATACGTATGAAAATATATCAACATATAAGGTCGACGTGAATAATTTAATTACGAGGAAAGACCCCCCCCCCAAACAAAAAAAACTGGAATTTTTATCAAAAATTTATTTATTAACTATTATACAAAATTCCTTTAGTCATCTTCAAAGTACTCTCCAATAAATGCGATGCATTTGTCAAGTTTTTATTTTTTTCCCTATGGTTTGAACTATCTCTGGTACTCTTCAACATTCAGTGTTCTTTGTGAAGCTGTTTTTCCATCTTAATCAAAACTTCAGCCGTTCAAATTTTTCTCCATTCTCGAAAACAGGAAAGTCGCACCGGGCTAGGTCTGGCGAATATGTAGTATGAGGAATGACTGGCTTTCCCTGGGAGGGCAAATAGTGGGTCACTTGTAAAGCCGTGTGGGTGGAGGCGTCTCATTTACAAATCCTCTGTCAAAATTCGATGACGCGAGTTCCAACTCACGCCTGTGTCTCCTCTGAAATTTGGAACGTTCGTGGAAAGAATATCTATGTTGATTATTTGGTGAATTTTTTTTCCAACTTTTTCATCGCTTCGAGACATTGAAAGACACCCAAAAGGAGCGTAGTTTTCAACATGTTTAAAGCACCCAATCCATTCGAAAATTTGCGTGCGTCTTATAAACATCGTTGAAGCATTTGGTAAGCTTTCGTTGCTGATTTTTCAAACGGAAAGCAAAATTTCAGACACACATTTTTAAAAAAAATTGCCATAAGAATTTCGCAATAGAGACCAAAATAACAATAATAGAAATAGAACACTATGCTTAAACGTTTACTTACAAATTGACGCCACCTGCACATTGTGTCGTGAAGGTTTCAAATAACCCCATCCAAGCAGGACAACTCTGTAACGCAATGGTAGGTATAGTAACGTATTTAGCAATTTTTCCGTTCATATGGTAACGGTTTTCTGAAATTCTGGTTTTCGAAATTATTGTTCTTATTACCACACAAGTAAAAAATAAAAAAATTGAAAATTGAAACTAAACGAATAAATTATTTTTATTCTGTCATCAAACGTAATTGTACCAATTTTTATCACATCTTATAAAACAGTATTTCATAGTTAATTTTTCCAAAATCATTAACAAAGTGCTTCAGCAAAAATTACCAAGCTGTTTGGTAATTTTTATAAAGAACCAGAAACACGGTAAGTTTTAGCATATTCTGGAAATTTTGATCATACTTTTTTGTCAGTGTAGAATGTGCACATATTCTAAGCTGCATATTTTCCAAGTCCCAAAAAATGAAATAAAATGGAAAGTTTATTTATTATATACAGTTGTAGATCACAAAAATGCTCCGAGATAAGTGTGCTATAAAAAATTATAGCTCAACCGTAATCATCACAGTAGTACATGAATTTAATAGCTAAGATCTTTTCTTTCCTGTTTATTATGATTTAGTTATTTGTAACCTATTTCTATACATGTTTATTTTCTTTAAATAGAAATATGTGGATAAAGAATTTGCTCTGTTGTTTTCTGTCATGGATGAAAGTTTATCACATTATTTGCCAGAAAATGTAATGCAATATGCATATAGACCAGACCTTGTCAATACATCAGATCCTATGTTTATCGAATCAAACCAAATGCACTGTAAGTAGTTACAAATAATGACAAATTTTGTTACATTATCATATTATTTCCTAATAAATATTGTATTAAAATGTATTGTATAATATTTTATACCCTGCAATTAAATTAAAGATCAACCAATAATAATGATGCCCAAAATGCGACGAAAGTTTTTATAAAATAATTTATGATTGCGAGCTTCAATTTATACATTTTTCTCATTGAGATGCCTTTATAGGCATAACATGTTTCCTAGTTTTTTCAAACTTCTTCAATTTCATAAGTTTAATTTTTTTAATCATTCTCAATCCTGCTATATTTATCAATTTCTATAAAGAGTTAATATAAATACTTTTATTCTTTTTTTAACAATCAATGTACGGCTAAATTTTTTAATTGAATATGAATTTAAAATTCTTTAATTCAGAGTCATGACTAAATCGAATAACAAAATCTATTTTTAACTCTATTTTTCTTTAAGCTACTTTATTTCCCTAATATATATGGTGATATGAATTTTTAAAAAATTAGAAATTTCTTTTTAATATATGATTTCAGCATTCGAATTTAGCCTTTTGATGCCTTTTGAAGAGATATTAAGTTTAAAAAAATAAAAATGACAAGGAAAAATCATTTTGTCCAATTCAAATTGGTTTTTACGACAAAAAATTTCTTTATAAAACATATTTTATTTAAGGAATCAAATGCTATGCACACTTTAAAATTTGAGAATGATTTCTCCCAAAATTTACAATTGTTTTCTAATTTTATATTTCAATCAACTTTTAACTATGTTTTTATTCTTGATGTTTTGTCCAAAAAAAACATTTCGTGTATTATATAATATTCAAGTATTTAGTTATATAATCGAGGAAATTTCTTTCCTCGCCTCGGAAAGCAGGAACTGAGCTATAAGCTGACAGAAGGAAGACGTTGAATGGAACAATTAATAAATTATAGCCATATTTTAGTTCTAATGATACCTTGAATCGATAGGTATTTGCAATAAATCTGCGAGAGAAAAGCTTAATCTAAAAACACTAAATTGTTAGCCTCTTGAAAATGGATAAATAGTTTAAAAAACTGCTAAATTAAATTACATAATTTTATATCTAACATGATTAATGCACATAACGAAACTTTCACAACAATACTTTAAGAAGATAAGCATATTTTGTGAATGTTAAGTAAATGAAATTCGTCTTGCTAACAAACAGCGTGATAAATATTGTAGTATTCAGCTTATGGTCGATATATTTAATAGTATTTAGTTTTATTATCGGTAATATTCTGAATTGATTATAAAACTAAATGTTGTGCTTGAAAGAAAAAGAAAATCAGCTCAAATTACCGTACTGCATGGTAATAACATTTAAAAAATAGAAACATAATTTTAGTTAATAAAACCAAAAAATACAGTATTTAAACCATTCATTTGGTAATTTTCCGTTCATTTGATAACGGTTTGGCAGAAATTTTGGTTTTCGAAATTATAGTTCGTATTACCACACCTATAGTAAAAAATATAAAATTGAAAAGTAAACTGAACTGAATAAATGCTTTCTATTTCATGATCCGAAGCATTATGATACAATTACAAGATTTTACCTCATTTAGTGCCTAACAGCATGGTAATAAAATCATATTTTATTGCTAATTTTACCAAAATCTTGATTAAAGGATTTTGATAAAAGTTTTCGAGCTTCTTGTTGGACATATAGGGTCAGAAACACGTCAATTTTAACCATATTCTTTTAGTTTTGACATGCTTGTTTTTTATGTGTATTACTGAGTATTAAGTGTGGTATTAAATAGTACATGATTTTTATTATTAGTTTATTTAGAATAGTACATGATTTTTATTATTTATTAGTTTATTTAGAAAAAGTTAAAAATTAATATTTAAAGAAAATATTTAAACGCATTTATTTTGAATTAAATTAAAACATTTTAAAAAAATTAGATTTACTTAAAGGTTAAAAATTCATGTTTAAAAAAGTTTTTTTTACAAAAATATTAAATTTTCTTAGTCTTCTATTTATTTAAAAAAATCGGATGTAAAAGACTTTCGTTTCGAGGCGTGAATAATTTTACATGGTATTAATTGAAATATTACTTTCCCAGCTATCAACGGCAGAGTTTGGGGAAATCTTGAAGGTCTTAGAATGTGCGTTGGAGACAAAGTAAGCTGGCATCTTGCTACATATGGAAAAGCTATAGATATACACACACCATACTTCCACGGCAACACTTTCCAAATAAGTGGTAAATTCAGAGATGCTATCAGTGTAGCACCAAGCACACATTACACAGTTGTTATGCATGCTGATAATCCTGGTAAGTGACAAATAAAATATCTTTAGCACATATTTTTATTGCTACTGTTTTACATAAAAATAACATCGTTCATGTATATGATGTCTTCTGTTATTGTTGTTTTGAATGCCCCTTGCCAACCAGTGAATCTAAAGACAGAGGGTGAGTTTCTTGTTTGTGCACTTCTTGTCTTTTATCTATGGTCAAGAATACGCCTTCAGCCACACACACGTCACAGCCCATTTCTAGGGCGAACCCATACATACATCCATTTATTCATCCACAGATCATGATTTTGAACTATAGAACGATCAATCTCCATTTTAGTACCACCAGGGTATTGATTTGTAATAGGAACATTGAGTACTTTGTGATCCGATAGATTTAACGTGCACTAGTCATGGCCAACGCTCGATCAACCAGGCTATCCTGGATGTTTCTTGAACAGATTAAATGCTTAAAAATTATTTTTGGTAATTTTATTATCATGAAGAGAATTATATTAAAAGTTACAATTAGCATTTAATATTACAGGGCTGCCGGGTATTCAAATTACATTTTTTTGAGGATATTTGTTTTTATAAATCGGTTGATTTTATAAACTGGAATAATATCTCCACCTAATGAAAAATGTTTAAAATTTGAACTTTATGTAAAAGTTAATTTGGTTGCTACATTTAAATTTTATTCTCTATGAATTTACCTTTGACATTTTAACTAATTGTGAGCTACAATTTTTAATTTACAGAAGGGTGTCAAAATATTAACGTGTTTATTTAATCTGCGAAATTTGTAATTGAAGATTCAACACGATTTCAAACTTTAGAGTAATTATATTAATTTTAAATATTTTCTTATGTAAAATTAATTTTAAAATATCCAGCACTTTTTTATTGAAGTTAGATTTATCTTATTATAATCATTGACATTGAATGAGGATAGGCATTCCAAATCTTTTTTTAACCCATATCCTTCGATTTCCTTAATCCGCATTTCACGTTTTTGTTCGTAGATAGCGGACAACAATAATTTTAACTAATGTGATAATGATTTTATTAAAAGTTGGTTTTAACATATTTTGATTTTGTAATGATTCTGGTCTTGAAAATTTGATTTTAAATATCTGCTTTCTTTACAATCCAGTGATTTTATTCATGTATAAAAATATCTAAGAATTTATAATATAGATAAGAATTTATTAGTTATATAGTAATCTTATTCCTTTCTATTTTCCTAGCCGCGATTATTTAAAAAAATAATACCAAAATTTTCCATGCGTAAGAAAACAATTAATATAAAAATTTATATTGTTTACAAGTAATATTTTGAGCACCTATCGACATCATATATATTTTATAATTCTAATAATATCACTTATCTGTTAATAATAATACTTTACATTAATTCCATCAATGTTAATTCGCACTTAATACTCCCTTGAGTGCCTAATCAGAAGTGATATGCCTAATAATATTATCACTTCTGATTTCTATTTAAAACTGAAGTATATTTTTACTGTTTTATACATAAAATTGAAGTAAATGTAATGTTGTTAATGTCACGTTTCTAAAATGCCCGACTTTGTATGAACAAATTATGAAATTTTTTCGAGCTCAACTGTACTATTACTATTATTATGACTAATTATACTATTTATTTTTTCAGGTACATGGGCTTTAGACTGCCGAATAAACAATCATTTTGCTGGAGGTATGAGAGCTATTTACCATGTAGAAGATTGTGGTCACGGATTATATCCACCAAGGCAGATCTTTTATGATCATAAGAAAGTTAGAGAATATTTCATTGCAGCAATAGAAATCGAATGGGACTATGCACCCAACCCTAGGCACATAATTGATGGTTCTAATCTATTAGAAAACGAGTAAGTAATTAAAGCGTCTATTCATTAATCACAATCTGTCAAAAAGAAAGTCTTTGACCTCGTTAGAAAGATTAAAATTTCATTAGAGATTTAAAAGAAAATATTTTCTTAAACTATACGAAAATTTCAGAACTCGTTTTACTGCTTGCAAAGCTGTCTTGTTCAAAAACAGTTTTACCCTCAACTAGGAGAATCCATCTCTTTCTGATTTCACCCATTAACCACCACGATTGCAACGTAATAATTTTTATTTATTTACGATAAACAGATTGTCTCACAAAATTAATTAATAAAACGAACCCGATTTTTTTTTTACTTTACTGACACACATTTAATTCCACAGATTTCTCTATTGAGATAAGATTTAAACTTTAATTTTTTGTTCGAATACTATCGGAACTTCATCATAAGCTTGTATTTTAAATTCTTACTTAATTTTTAGTTTTTTTAAATATTCGTTAAACATTTTTGCCACTTATATTGTTTAGCAATAGTGCAAAAATTTAATTCGTAATACCACTATACAATTTAAAATTATTATTTTTTATTTATAATTATTTTTATTATTTTTTATTTATAATTATTTTTATTATTTTTTATTTATAAATATTTTTATTATTTTTTATTTATAATTATTTTATTATTTTTTTTTATTATTATTTTAATTATTTTTATTATTTATTAATCTATTACTTTTTATAATTTTTTATTGACACATCACAGTTTTGCAAAAATTTTAAAATGCTGCAAAATATAACTTATTTATCACATAGTTATTTTTAAATTGTTGCTTAATGTGTGGGTGGTACTGATGAGCAATAAGGTGAGATCATAAGAATATTTTTGTAAAAAAGTAACACTGATTTAAGATGTGATTCTTTAATTTCAAATAATAATCAAAATCAAAAGCATAATAATAGTGGAGAATAATATTAGGAAGAGATGAAAAATTATTATATGCAAATACAGTTGAATAAAGGATCAATATTTTACAATTTTATGCTGATTAGAATATAAGATAATCTGAACCTCTTGTGTTTATTAACGATCATATCATGTGATTTTCCTGTCCAATGAGAATAAGCGAAAAGATAAGATGACAAATTTTATTTTTATGGTGTAAAGGATAAATTATTAGAAAATTATTTAGTACTTACTAATTTCGCAATTTCAATATGGTTTTTCAATTATTAGATTTCCAAATACTACATAGTTGTATACATACATTCTCAGAAAACGGGTTCCGTATGAACAATAATATCGGCACCCTGGACCATTAATACCGTGCAAATTAGCTGACAGCATAATAAGGCGTTAAACTAAATTATGTTTCATTTCAAGTATAATCATAGCACTATGTAATCAAGTTTAAAAAGTATTTATTTACACAGTATTATGGTTAATTTCAACACTTTACTAAATTAATAAACTTGTGAACAATATAATGGATCAATACGCTTAAAAACTTTTGAAAGATAGATGATAATAAATTGATAGATGTTTGGGAAAAGTTTCTAATAGAAAGCAAGTTAAATTTAATGATATTATTGATATTTAAACTTTCAAACTGCTGTATCTGAGAAACTATTCAAAAGATTCAAATCAAGTTTTGTATACATATTCAATTTGAATATTAAACTTGGTTAAATCACAATCCTTTCTTGTTTTCTTGAGAAAAAAAATTCTGGCAAATTTATGGTGCTGTATGGTAATGACATTTCAGGCAAGAGAAACAATAATTCTTGTTAATAAAACCAAAATATACAATTCAAATATACATACAAAATTCATATGATAATTTTTCCATTCATATGGTGATACAGTTTACCGGAAATTCCGATTTTCAAAATTATCGTTCTTATTACCTCACATTTGGTGAAAAATTCAAAAATAAATTTAAACATATAAATAATTTTAATTCCATGCTCTAAGGCAGGGATGGGCAAACTACGGCCCGAGCGCCAACTGTGGCCAGCCGAAAGGTTTCATCAGGCCCGCGGATAGAATTTTAACTTGCCGATCCGTGGCGAATATAAACATATACATCCATTTTCTTGTCTACTTCGTTTAAAGCTATTTTTGTTCTTTCTTTTTTAACAAAGTATTGATGACCTTTTTACTTTCTCTATTTCTGTTCTACATAATTGATGGATATAGCTAGCACATACAGCTTCAATTGGTAAAATGTTGAAAGCAGAAGTTCTTCATAGAATAGCCGTAAATTAGCGTCATCTGAAACAGTTGTTTTTAAATATGCCATAGTTTGAGTTTCACAAACCATTAACAAAAGCTAGTTTCCTAAATTAAATATCTAAATCAGTGCTATGTTTGCTTCAAATGTTAACAAGTGTTTTCAACTATGAACCTTAAGAGAAATCATTTCAGAAATAGACTAGCAAACGTTTAGCCTCGTTCCGTAAAATAAGTGCATCTCACTTGGAACCTCAATATCAGGAACATCTAAAAATGAAATCGCGCTTTCATTCATATCATTAAATATTTAAATTAAAACTTGTATATCTTTTTTTTTTTGAAGTTTTTTCTTAGCCCACTAAACTTTTTTTCCTCGATTTCTGCCCTCGACCAAAAAAGTTTGTCCATCCCGGCTCCAAGGTATCATGATAAAATTACCAAATTGTATCACATTAACCAAATTTTACCACATATTATAAAGCCATATTTTATTGTTAATTTTGCCTAAATCATTACCAAAGCACTTTGGTAAGTATTACTGAGCTGCTTTGGTTTTCCCATAAATCCCAAATAAATTTCACAATATTCTGATAGTTTTGACCATGCTTTTTTTCTAGTGTTGCTTTTTTTAAAAATTCCTACAATCTTAACAAGGTGTAAAATTAAATATTTTTCCCACATTTTAAACCATAACATCTTGTACTTAAGTTTATTAAGAATTAATTTTAATGATGATAAGGTTCAACTTGGTACTTTGCTAATTTTGTAGCAAATTTGCGTTTTATTATTGTTTCAGGATTTTAACAGAACTATCAGGAACTATTTTAACAGAACAGTTTATTAATGTTTCAGGATTTTTAAAACTTCTTTGAATGACATGCATGCATTATGACATTGACCCGTCATTGATTTCGTTTTTTTTTTCCAGAGAAAGTCGACCATTTGTAGAGAATGGGCCACAACGTATTGGCAGAATATACAAAAAAGCAGTCTTCCGAGAATTCACTGATTCCTCTTTTACTCACATGAAACCGAGAGGAAGAGATGAACAGCATTTGGAGCTCATTGGTCCATACATCAAAGCTGAAGTTGGCGATCTCATTCGAGTTGTGTTCAAGAACTTGGCATCAAGACCCTACAATATCCATCCCCACGGAGTCTTGTTAGAAAAGTACGAGTCCTACGCAGATGCTCTGGGTGAAGACGAAGAACCAGTGGCTCCAGGTGACACACATGTTTATGAGTGGCCAGTACCAGAACGAGCTGGACCAGGAAGAAATGGATTCAACTGTTCTTCATGGGCTTACTATTCAGCTGTGGATGTTGTGAAGGATACCAACTCTGGTCTTGTTGGTCCTTTAATAACATGCAAGCCTGGTACTTTGACATCCAAAGGTAAACTATAATATAATTTAATAGGTTTCTCAAAATACACCATAACTAGGCATATAGAAAAGTTATATATATATCTTCAATTCTCTTTGAAAATAGGGAAATAAAGCGTTAAAAGAAATTCGCTCTGCTCATAAAAAGTTAAGAACTTTATAAATATTTTTAGGTAACATTAAAAAGTTTAGAGCTTTATAGATATTTATCGATATTAATATAAAAACTGCGAGTATCGGAAGGCTATATCTTCAATTTCCAAGGAAAATAGTGAAACAAGGCATAGAAAGATATTCGCTCTGCTCACGAAAAGTTTAAAACTTTATAAATATAAAGGGATAATAATTAAAAGATTAGAACTTTATAGATATTAACGGATAACATTAATTAGTTTATGTATGACATAAAACAGGAAATTTAAAACTGAAGTTAAACTGTTTTCTTTTAATTATTATTTACCATTTATGTTCCTTATTTACACAAAAAATTTAATTCTTTAGAAGAAAATCTAATCTTGAGTACTTAAAATAGCTTAATATTAATAGACGTAAAATAAACAATGTAATAATTACAGTAACATAAAAAGGATAACGTAAGAAAAAATAAATTCATGATTTCGAATTATTAGTTTTAGTATATTTTATAAACTGACTTTTAANGGAAATAAAGCGTTAAAAGAAATTCGCTTTGCTCATAAAAAGTCAAGAACTTTATAAATATTTGTGGGTAACATTAGAAAGTTTAAAACTTTATAGATATTTATCGATATTAACATAAAAACTACGCGTATTGGAAGGCTATATCTTCAATTTCCTAGGAAAATAGTGAAACAAGACATAGAAAGATATTCGCTCTGCTCACGAAAGGTTTAGAACTTCTTTAGTTAAAACCGTTTCAACCCCAGACAGAAATGGCTTTAACTGTTCTTCGTGGGCTTAAAATTCAGTATGGCCTTGTTGGTCATTTGATTACATGCAAGCCAAGCACTTCCTACAAAGGTAATATATTATTTTAATTAGTTTCTTTAAATGCACCATAGCTGAAAATACAAAATTATGCTTATTGGAAGGCTTTATCTGCCATTCTCTGGGAAAATGGTGAACTAAAGCGTAAAAAGATATTAGCTCTGCTCACGAAAAGTTTAAAACTTTATAAATATAAAGGAATAATATTTAAAAGATTTGAACTTTATATATATTAAAGGATAACATTAATTAGTTTATGTATGACATAAAACAGGAAATTTAAAACTGAAGTTAAACTGTTTTCTTTTAATTATTATTTACCATTTATGTTCCTTATTTACACAAAAAATTTAATTCTTTAGAAGAAAATCTAATCTTGAGTACTTAAAATAGCTTAATATTAATAGACGTAAAATAAACAATGTAATAATTACAGTAACATAAAAAGGATAACGTAAGAAAAAATAAATTCATGATTTCGAATTATTAGTTTTAGTATATTTTATAAACTGACTTTTAATGGTTGCGTAAAAAAAGATTATTATTCAGAAGCTAAAAATTCTTTCCTTTCATTACAGGACGACGAAGAGATTTAGATCATGAATTTGCTGTTCTATTTACCATCTTCGATGAGAATAGAAGTTGGTACATCCAAGAAAATACTTATAAGTATGCCACCAGGCCGGAAACAGTAAATCCTTTGGATCCTGGTTTCATTTTAAGTAACAGAATGCACGGTAAGCTAAACAATATTAATACAGTAGAACATTCGATAAGTGCTTAAAATTTAACCATACTTTGCAAAATTATGTACAAGGTGCTGCTTAAAAGTTCGGTAAATGAAAAATAAAATCATAAAACAAGCAGTATCAGCAGTGAGATACAATACAATTTTTAATGCGTCGGTAATGCTATTTCAATAAGACTGTAATAGCCTTGTAAGAATTGATCGATGGACTGGTGTCCCACGTTCACAATGAGATCAGCACGAAATAAGCGAGAACGAATCACGAACTTACACAAATATTTGTTAATAATCTGCTAAAACAAAGTTATTCTTTATTTAAAACCACCTTATCTCAAGACTAAACATAGTAAATTAATGTTGTATGCTCATTGCCGATTATAACATGTTTTAACCACGAGAATTAATTGGTTTTCAAAATGAGACTCAACATGTGTTTCTACTATGCTCTTAAATTAGGTAATAAAATTAAATCACTTTGAGTGCACTAAATTTTAAGCCTAGTATTATTTTTTTTCAGAAACTGTATTAAATGATAATGAAGTGATATAATACATAAATTTAATCTTATATATTTTGCACATTAAGTCAAAAAAAAATATGCAACTTGCTTTGTCAGAACATTAGACGGCACATCTGACTGAATGCTTTTTTTAAAACACTGCATTAGACACTGTCTGGCCAAAAGTGTCCGGACACCCAGTGGCATGAACTTAGAGCTTCCTGAGGCACATATTATTATGATACTGCTCCCCTTTTTGCATCAATGACTACCAGCACACGACTCAGAAGACTTCCACAAGTTTTTGATAGGTGACCATAGGAATTGACTTCCAGGCTTTCATCGTAGCTGAAGTGAAGGCTTGCAGTGAGGGTGATCTATTTGACTATCCACGTAATCTTTGCTCCAATTCGTTCAAAAGGGGTTCTATGGGATTTAGATCGAGACTCTGAGAAAGCCAGTCCAGTGTTTGGACATTCATTTCGTTAAATCAGCCTCGATGTGTCAATGGAGCAGTTATCCTGCTGGGAAAAGAAATAGGCCTTCCCCGAAATATTATCATAGAGTTGATAGTGCAGCATTGTTCAGAATGTTCGCATACATCTCAGAGTTCATGTTTCCAACCAGAGGAACTAATGGATTTAGGCCATACCACGAGAAACACCTCCACACCATTATGCTTTCCCCACCTTAACAATCGGGAGTCCAGTGGCCAGATAACGTATCATTGAAATTAAAAATGAAGGATTAATAACTGAGTGAATTAATAACTGAAAGATTAATAAAATATTTATGTTATTAATTAAACTATACACAGAAGAGCCATTACATTATGACCACCCTGCTAATAACATGTAGGACCACCTTTAGCCCTCAAAACTGCTAGCTCCCGCCATGGCATTGATTCCACAAGGTGCTGATAGGTAGTCTGAGGTGTCTGGTACCAAGCACTCACCAACTGGTCCTGCAATTCCTCCACATTGCGAGGGGGTAGCGTGGCAGCACGAATTTGGTTCTCCAAGTAGGACCACGAATGCTCTATTGGATTAAGGTCAGGTGAATTGGGGGGCTAAAACATGACTTGAAAGCCACTGGAATGTTCCTCGACTATTCTACCCAAATGACATGGTGCATTATCCTGTTGGTAAACACCATCCCCCACAGGAAAAACTGCTGCCATGAATGGGTGATTCTGGCCTGCAACTATGTTCAAGTAGCTTACAGACGTCAGGGATTGTTCTATGAGGATTATGGGTTCTAATGTGCCCAACGAAAACATTGTTCCTGGGCGAGAAACAATGAAAACCTGGGCGAGCTCATTGTTATAGATGGACGGTGGTCATAATATAATGGCTCTTCGGTGTAATATTAGCAGTAAAATTGTAGCATATGCCTCCTTAAGTAACCCAGACTTCCGAAGATGAGTGAACCCTTTAGCAGAGAAAGATAAGGAACTGATCTGCAGTATAACAGATTAGCGGTTCTGTTTACCCCAACAACCTACTCATCTCAAGCTATTATTATCAGCCAGTCAACAAATAAAATGTAACCCATTTCTGTACCAATCATATTCCTTTTAAATTATGTTAAATACTTAAAAAAAAAATTTAATTTTGTCTAGATAAACGATAACATTTATAGCTTATATTTCCTTAAATCTCACAATTTTTAGAATGTCTGGTTTCTAAGCAGAGTAATTAATATTATTGACTAACTTATTTTTTGCACTGAGAAAAAAATAATGATAAAATGTATCGTGTTTCTGGCCCTATAGTAACATCGAAAAGCTCGATAAGTTTTACCGAAGCGCATTGGTAATGATTTTCGTAAAATTAACAATAAAATGTGGTTTTATAATATGTGATAAAATTTGGTTAATGTGGTAAGATTTGGTGATTTTATTGTGATACCTTATCGCATGGCATAAAAACCATTCAATCGGTAAAATTTATTTTTTTGTCATATGTTTATTTACAAAATCTGTGACAATAATAAATATAATTTTGAAAACTAAGAATTTCTGGTATACCGTTACTATATAAATGGGAAACATATAAAATGAATAGTAAATAAGTATTTACATATAAGTACAAATATATATATAAATATACAAATATATATATAAATATACAAATATACATATATACAAATAAGTAAATACATAGTACTATGTATTTTCGTTTTTTTAACCAGAATCATGTTTTCTTTTACCAAATATTTCGTAATCAGACAGCTCAGTAATTTTACTTGAATTTTTTCCCGGTAAATAAAGCTCGTTTTTTTAACGATATGATTTCTTAATCATGATATCTAAATTATAAGCATAATAATCAGTATTATAGCAAGCTATTTTTTACTTCTTATGATATACTTTTCTTTGTCTTTATTGCATCGAGATCAAAAACACATTATTTAATAGTATTTTCAAGGGTTTTGCTAATAAAAAAAATCTACGCTAAATTAGCAAAATAAATAGTATATAAAATTATTAAATCATCGACATTTATTTTTTTACAGCTGTGAATGGTAGACTGTATGGATCTTTGGATGGTCTTGTTGCAAGGCGGAACACATTGGCTGCATGGTATCTCATAGGTATGGGAACAGAAGTAGATATGCACACTGCTCACTTCCACGGTCAGACCTTCCTACGTCGAACAGACAGTACTCGACGTTCTGATGTCGTTTACCTTTTCCCTGGTGTGTTTGAAACGGTAGAAATGATTATGGATAATCCTGGTACATGGATCCTGCATTGTCACGTAGACGACCATATGAGAGCGGGCATGGCGGTCACCTACACCGTGGAGCGCTGACACAACTAACTCTTAAATAATATTTGTATAAATTACTAATATGGATTATTTTTTACAAACTTGAGCAAAATTAATAGGAGATTAAATGCTGATTTTTATGAAAAACTCTCAACACATGGGGACTTTTACGTCAAAGTGATTGAACACAGCATCTGTCTTTTGAAACCGTCTTCTGTTTACCTCAAAATAAGAAAATGCGATAGTGTTTCAGAAATTTAGTCTGACTCAATTTTTCAACGTAAAGTGAATATGTAAAATATTTATATTAGGAGCTTGTTACTCATAAAACTATTCTTGTATATATTTTCTTATGCATACAGTAAATGCAAATTAAAAAATTAATCCTTGAAAATATATGTATTTATTTTGCAACATTTTTTGAATTCAAAGGCCGTGTATAAGTTTGATATTTATTTTAATATGAAGCTCAATATTTAATAAAGAAATTAGTAAGAGTTTTAATCAAAATCAGCTTGTGTGAAACGCTAGCTCTTTCACATGAAAATATTATATACTCACAAAATATTGTAGAATAAAAGTAGAAATATTAAGAATAAATTCATGAAGCTAATAATAAGTGACATTTTTACTCTCTGTGTTTACTGACATAGAAGTTATACCAAAGAAACACTCACCTTTTTAACTCAAAATTTATATTTATTATTATATCTTTATTTTAAATTTATTTTTTTATTCTAAATAAATTTAAAACAAAGGACTATAAGTTTATTTGAAAGCAATGCTACGCATTTTTAACATTCCAGGCTCATTTTTTTGCTTCATTAAAAATAGAAACTGTTTGAAATTTAATGCCACATTCTTAAAAATTTTAAAAGTAACAATTTTAAAGTGCAAATCTGTAATCTTTTATTCTGTCAAAATAATTCTACCTAATTAAACATTTCAGTATGTCCTTTTTGATGTAAATTTACAGTCCTGGGTAAAATAATATTGATTAGTCTTACTGAGATACAGACTTTTTATATGCAAGTTTTTATATGCGAATTTAAATAACCGAAGCTAATCGAACCAGTTTTAACTTTAAAAATTCAGCTTTTTGTATGTATCTCAATGTGCCAAATATATCAGCCTCAATCTCTATTACTGTAATAAGTCTCACAAAGTCAAGTTTAAATAGTACAGTTATGTTTAGTTTGTACAATACTCCTCTTTGTACTGTCGCTACTACTTATGATATACTGCAATTGAATTGGAAAATGAAGTTTTATGTAGACATTGTAAAAAAGTACATATGAAGCAGATTATTTGCTTGAGATTTCACTACAGTGTTTATTTATATTTTATATGATTGTATGAGAGTGTATGTTAGAAGTATCATGTTTTTCAATTCTTTGAGTCCAGTTTAGCATCAAAAATAGAGTTTTGATGCTCACATGGGCTCTTTGAGAATTAAAACACATGATTATGTAATTTATATTTGTTTCTAGTATTACTTGGTTTAGATACCTATGTATTTTCTATTGTCAATAAAATTAACTCTTAAGATAAATGTTTGTTTCTTATTCGCTTGCTTGAAACTTGAACACACTGTAAAAAAAATACGGATTCAATTGCGGCAAAAAATCAGATATACCATAATTTTAACTGTAATATTTGAGGTAAAATTACTGAATCACTTTAATTAAGTAAATATTAAATAAATATGATTTGTATTTTTATTTATTAAATTGTGATAAAAAGGATTATTCATCAGATAATTGTATAATTTAGAAAAGCACTGAATTCACATTATATTAAAATAATGACTTAAACAAAAGTTTACTTTATCATTTTTAACGAAGCATTTATCACTGTAATTAGTTTAGGAAGATGGTATAGCGCATGCGAAACTCTGCTTGGTAACTATTTTAGTAACTTTAAAATTTAAATTACAGAAAAAAATTTGTTAAAATAAAGAGTATGTAAAATATGAAGTTTTAAATGCGCAGAGAAAAAAATCGGGTAATATTATCGAACTGTATGACAATGATATTTTTGGTTAAAAAAAAGAAGAAAAAAAACTTACTTTCGATTAACAAAACCAAAGTATATGGTATTTAAACCATTCACTTGGTAATTTTTCCTTTCATATGGTAACGGATTACCAGAAATTTTGGTTTTAAACTTTTACTTCTTATTACCCCATAATAATCATACCATATTTTATTGTTAATTTTTCCAAAATCATTACTAAAGAGTTTTGGTAAAAGTAACTGAGATTTTCGATGTTCCCTTAGAGCCAGAAATTTTTACCGTATTTCTGGCTCTATTACCGTAGTTTACCATATTCTGGTAGTTTTGACGACACGTTTTTTCTCAGTGTGCTGAAACCATTTTTTCTAAATATTAATTGCAATCATATTACGGTAATATTAGCTACTGCGCAGGAAAAGGATAAGTAATACTGTCATAATATGTTTGCAATTTGACATTTTAGTAAAAATGTATACTATTGAAACTTCTTGGTCTGTCTATCTTGGTTTATCTGAACATTTTTTTCTATACTTTAAATTCGAAAGTGCTAATATAATTGAAAGAGAATGTCTTATGAAGGGTGACTCCTGTAGTATAGCGTCCTCTTTAAGGTAGTAAATGTTATTATTAGAAGTGCTAAAATTTAGTGCCAAATTCATGATTCAAAGTTAAGGATAAATTCATATTACTTTTTTAGAGAAATTCAGTAGCTGTCGTCACAGGAAAGAAATATCATAGGACTATCTCAGATAAACCGCGATAATGAAACTAAAATCCATGATCCATCTAGAATTGAGGATATTTTCTGTCATCACTATTGAGGAAGCAATACCTGACTTCCAAAGCTGTAACCAACCAAACCATGTAATAACTCTCTCTATACTCCATGTCTGGGCCTGAAGCCGAGAACGAGTATTGATGTGATAAGCATAACTAGAACCTAAAAAGAAATCACTTCCTCAAGATAATCTATTGCAACTAACTAAAATTTATAGATATAAAAAGAGAATACTTCGTTAAAAATACATAAAGAGAAATATTCAAGTCTAGCTGCATTTAGTATTTGACCTTAGCCATACATTATGCATTTGTAGTTATGTATTAAACATGTAACCTTAAATAATTATGATTAAAAAGAGACTGTTATAACTGATAAACAGAAATTAGCTTTGTTTTTAGATGTCATTATACTTTAGCATATTATTTGAAAAATAATGTATATTTTAATAAAAGTAATTTCATTTATTTAATAAAAACTCAGAAATATTAATTTTATAATACTTAACTAAACTATTGCTAGAACTCGAATAAAAAAAAGAGAATAAGTACCTGTAACATACCAACATCTGAAATTGATATTCTATTTATTTAGCAAATGTTATAACAGATATAAACTGTAAATAATTCCAGATCAAACTGCGGTAAAAAGTACCGTCACACAGGGTGCCGGTACTTTTTATGGTAAAATTCATTTTTACAGGAACATGTTACGGAACAAAGAATCCTATATACCGCAATTTTTACAATAATAATTACCATAAAATCATATAATCGCTCTATTTATGTAAATATTACTGTAAAAATTAGAGTATAATATTTTACGATAAAAAGAGATTTTACGAAAGATGCATCCAAAGTGCCAGTACTTCATACCGTAATTTGAAGCTGAATTTTTACAGAGCAGTATAATTTATTATATTTATTACTTGACCAATAAAATCTGTAGTTCGAGATGAATTTGTGTGGAAATCTAAAGTTAAATGTAAAAATTAAATTTCCAAAAAATGGTAACATTCACATGAAGTAGGCAATAAGTCTTGCTTTTAAAACCAAGGTTGAACACCCAACCCAAATTAGAGATTACGACTACCAATGTTCAATTCTATAGCCTTGTAATTTTAAACCGAATCCAGAAGACAAGGGAACTCCTAGATTAAACTTTTGTTAAATTTGCCATCTCGAAGGATTTTTCGATGAAACTAACCCACATTCATGTTACATGGAGAGAGAAGCCACGAAAACCTCCCACAGTTAGCTAGAAGACAAGGGGACTCTAGCCCATAATCCGTCTATTAAAACATTGCATAAATTTAGGTTTAAATACATCGATCTTCCAAAACCACATTTCAGTCCTTTAATTCAGGGGATAACTTTAGCAAAAATAAAAATAATTGCCATGCATAATAACAGCGTTTGTAACATTTTCAGCTGTATCACTTGCTTATTTTAAAAAATTAACAGGATCCAATTTTTTCTCTCTTCTGCTTCGCGATATGTCATGGTATCAAAGATATTCGAATAAAAGAAATAGAAACACTTATATAAATTTGTTTTTCAAAACTTTCACTCAGATATTTAGAAATACAAAGATTAGTAGCATTAGCATATTCTAAATCTCCTATAAATCAGTATTTCCATTGTAAAGTGTTTTAACAACTCTACTTTTCAAAACAACTGCTTCTATCAAGGCTGGTTGAGAAATTTGAGACGAAATTCACCCGTAATCCTCTTACATAACTACTTTATCATTTATGTAGGTTAACCCATAAATACAGCACAAGAATACTGAAATTAATTCTTTAGAATGTTTAGGCAGGCTAACTCGCAATGAGTTTGTTCTTTTTATCTGAAGACGCAACCAGTGAAACATCAAACAGTGAAATCTCGCGTTGTTCAACTAAGTGCGCTTGTTCAGAACAAATTAGAGTAACTTCAAGTAATAATCAAAAGAATTTGTAAGACATTACGATGCATGGTGTTCAGTTGACTTATTCCATCTTATGCCGATATGTTTTTGTGGTATGTGTCTCTTTATGTTATGTCAAAACTCAAAGGATACCTGACGAAGATCGTCCAACGAGGACTATTTACATAGGTGCGGTAGAAACTGACTGGGATTATGCACCAGAGGGTAATTTATTGGGTCCTGGTGCAGATGAGTAAGTAAAAATATTAAAATTACCAGGAATAAATTACTGTTAATATTTTTTTCTAGTTTTAGCTTAAAAAGTCCTTCCTCTTCCGACCAAACTTAAATATCGAAGGGGTGGATACTTAATATCGAACTTAAATATCGAAGGGATAGAAGAGGGAAAATTCCAAATATGCTTTTCATCCTTTTTATTTAATATCCTCAGATTAACTGATGATGGATATTTATCCTATTTTGCAGTATGTTTGGATAAATCTAAGATACAAGGCCACTACCGAATCACAATTTGAGATCTAAACCATGCGATATTTTTGATTGTCTATTCATTTTTTTCTGACAAAATTACGTAAATATAATTCTGCGATCAACAGTTTCTGATGGGTAGATAATTAGTATACAGTTCTCTGCATTATTTTTTGATAAGTATTTTTGTTTTCACGCAATTAGCGTTAAAATAATTTTTTAGCGACATTCATATCAGTTTTCATTAGTTTAAACTGTAATAAAATTAAATTTTAAAAAGTCTACAAACTGACAAACATGTACTTTTAAATTACTCAAAACTGCAAATAGCACAATTTTGTTGCTTTAAAGTTTTTTATTAAGTCAAAATTTGAAAGAAAGAAAATTTTGAGTGGTAAATTTTATTGTTAGTAAAAAAAATACTTAAAATATTTATTTTTGATTACCCATACTGGATTATTACTCCACAATTAAATATTGAAACAAAAAATATAATTTAAAATACAAAAAAATGGAGAAATTTATAATAAGAGAAAAAAAGGAAAATATAAGTTTTTTTTAACATAATTCCTCCAGAGCTAGGGAATACTCATAACTTAAAAATGAATAGTAAACCAAATATAAAAAGGGAAGAATTCCTTTAGAAATAATACGAGTTCTAAAAATTATCAAGCACTATTTTTCCTTATCTAATAACGCGACCCCTTTATTTTCTACCTTCTTTGAAAGGTATTGTACTGTTTAATAGTACTATATCATCTATTCTAAAGTATGTATGTTAAGTACAAAAAATATCAAGAAAAAAAATTACCTAACAAAGATGGCGAGGATAGAGGCCTCTTAAGATAGAAGTTTGAAGAAAACAATAGCTGAATATTTTTATTTCTTTGCAAGTAGGAAGTAAAAAATTAAATAAATATGAGGAAAAAATATATAACGCTATTTATTGATATTACAATTATTGAAATTTCTTATATTTTTGAATATATGTTGGAAATTTCTGATTTAGTGTGACATCACTACACAAGGTTATCAATTTCTGTTCAAAAATTATTTTTTATGAAATAGTTATTTTTGGCAGTTTGGAAAGTTTAAAAGAAAACGTCTGTTTTATAACTTAAGCTATACTTGTCAAAGCATTGCAAAATCGTTTGCAATCCAGGAATCAATTTATATTTAACTAACATAAGCATTAAAAAAAATATATTTTTCCGAGCACAAAGTTTAACACATTCCAACCCTATACAGGAGAGTTTTTTCCGAAACGAACAAATCAAAATTAAATAACCAAAATCACGAATGCTTCGAGGATCTTGAAAATGGTTGTTACTACTAGTATAACACGTTTAGAATTTTGTTAAAAGCATTTGAGTACTTTTAAACTCTCATCAAGAAGTTATAGCATTAATGTGTAACAAGTTATCTTAACGAAATTATTTTATAATCTTAAGAAATGTGCAAAGATATTTGAAAATGGAAAATTCACTTTAAAGAAACAGAAAAATTTATCAACCCCACATTTTTCGAAATTTAGCTAATTAATTAATTCTTAAAATAAATAAATTTATTTTAAGAATGATATCATAATTGAAACTTGAAACTAAGAGTCTATTTGCAGACATTTTGCACGAAAATTATTTAGCTATTAGCTTATATTTCTATGTCTTGATAGTAATAGTAATTTATTTTATTTTTGACATTTTTTTATGTTTTTAAATTGCATTTTCATATAGCATGTCGAAAATGCAGATTTTTTCTACAGCCAATAAGCAAATTTGGTTAATAAAACCAATATATACGGTATTTAAAACATTCATTTGGTAAGTTTTCCTGCCATATGCTAACGGTTTACCGGAAATTCTAGTTTTCAAAATTATTGTTATAATAACCAAAACTACAAAACTGAAAAGTAAATTTGACCAAAAAATTTATGTCATGCTCTAAAGTATCATGATAAAATTACGAAATTCCACCATTCAATAAACATTATAAAGTCATATTTTATTCGTTATTTTTCCAATGCGCTTCAGTAAAAACTACCGAAATTTTTGGTTTCCCATAGAGCCAAAAAAACATAAAATTTTACCATATTCTAGTAATATTGGCCATAGATTTTTTCTCAGTATAGTTAAAAACATACTATTTTGAAATGTTTCTCATTATGCGCAAAAACATTTAATTGTGCGAGACTAAACTTAAGAATTAGACGAGTTTAAAACTTAATATTGAATGATATGTTAGATACACTGTCTACAAAATATTAGGCACACTCTAAACAATATATTATATCCATAACAATGTACCGTGCCCATACATGCACTTTTAAAAAGTATATCAGAAAAATGTTCTACAACACACTCGATGCACTTTTTACAATACATTAGATAGATTTTATAGGTTTGAATACTTATTTTAATTACTCAGATAAATCAATAGAAAGTTGAAATATTTGTTAAATTTTAAATCAAGCGTTTATTATATTTTTAATTATATGTTCCTAAAATAAATTCAATAATAGTTATGTTTTAAATTTTACATCAAACGCGTTTATAATTTTGAAGTATACTTGCTTAAAATCTTCATCAAACCTGTATGAAATTTAGTATTAAACCATTTAAAATTCTTCTACAATATTTTAGAAGGTTCTTATACATTCCCGCCAAATTGATTAAAACAGGAAAATCAATAAATATTGCCGCACCGTAGTGATTCGAAAAATTATCCAATGTACTCCACGTTTAGTGATAAAACCGAATTCTTTGGCAGTTTATCAAACGGAGTGGCCCTCAGACATTAACTCATTTTTTTAATTTATTTTCTCAAATTTTGACGTATTGTAAATTAAACATGGGAAGGGGGATTTTTGCTGCATTTATGCAAATACTTGATTTTGTCTAATTTGGGAGTAAGAAATTCAAATCTGAAATTAATTTTGCACCAACAGCTACATTTTCTTTTCCTTATAAATGACATTTTTAGTCTATTTTCTGTTTTTTTAAAGCATTATATATAGCATGGAGTCGTGCAAGTGTTGCGACATACCTCTTGGGAAGTAAGGACACATCATAAAGAATAAAATTGCCCAGAAATCCATTCCCAGAAATGCCATCGTACGCGGCTAGAGACGCTTTCCTATTGTGACCTGTTCAGAAACACACGGAGAAGCAGATCGTAATAGAGAAGCGGTCCTAGTGGCGCATGATGACATTTCTGGGCATTGATTCCCACGCGATCTAAATTTTTTCTTTCCCTCCCAGAAGTTTTTTTTTCCATTGCCCACCTGTGTTAACATCCGTCAATTCAGGCATATACAGGACGATTTTGTTGGCCTGAAAGTGAAAAGAAAAAGAAAAACAGCAGCAATCGCCATAGCAAGGCATGCAATGACGACGCATGCGCACTGTTTACTATTACTCTTAAATACAGTTGAAAAGTATGATGACGCCCAAATAAAGTGCGCACGCCATAAAACTCAAAACAAGACCCATTTTGCCAATGGGTGAAAGTCTCTAAACATCTCATTTTAATGTCATTTCTTTAATAAGTTCAAAACATAGTTAATTTCGATACGCATATTAAAACAGTTAAAAAAATGCATTCCCTGAAAACAAAGCACGGCTAATAAAGTCTACAAATTAACATAACTCTCAATTGTAAATTTTTTAATAGGTACAAAGAGCTTTATTTATCAAAAAGTTCTGATCCCTTAAAACTGGGTCAGATATACAGGAAAGCAATTTTATGGGAATACACAGATGAGACATTCACAATACAGAAACCAAAAGAGCCATGGATGGGAATACTGGGTCCAGTACTCCAAGGAGAGGTGGGTGACATATTGAATATTGTATTCTACAACATGGCTAATCACCCACTGTCAATTCATCCTCATGGAGTCCGATATCAAAAAATTCATGAAGGTAAAGTTTTTCCCTTCTTATGTGTGATTTATCTTTATCTATCTTTATTTATCTGTAGTTATCTTTTTTTAATAATACTAAGTTAAAAATATTAATTGTAAAATAAATATATATAATTCTTTGATTGAGAATTGCATAGCAGCCTTTGACGAAATGGTGAGCTCGAAGTTAATTGCCAAAGTCGTAATTTACGATAAAAGAGATGTTTTTGAGCCTATTTGAATGCAATTTGCAATAACATAAAATTAAGATAATTTGTGTAAATATGTGTTCCGTCTGTAAAAATTCTCTGCTTTAAATGCGCATGAAGAGTCAGTTCATGGTGCAGAAAAAAAATCTTTGCGGCGTGCGAGGACATCTTTGTTTATTGGTTGCTATGCAATTCTCAAACTTAGTGTCATACCCAGTATCCATTCCAAGATTTTCCTCTTTTTTTAATTACTCTGCTTGCAATAGTTATAATTAGTTAACAGATATAAATATCCTGATATGGAACTACAGATTACCTGCCACAAGAAAAGAGGCATTGAAAGCTACAATTCAATAACTGACTTTATTTACTTGAAACCTACTTAAATGTTAAAGAAATATATGGTTGGAAATGAAATGCACTACAAGCTACTTGAGGTTCCTAAATTTAATTTATTAATTATTCTCTTAATTTAAAAAATTGCGATCGATTGACATATATTTGTAATAATTGTCTTAGTCGACAAGAAATGCAAAGTCGCTAGGAATAAAGCGTGTCAGGGGTAATAAAGATCTAGAAATTGCTAATTAGAGTGGTTAAGCTCCATTGATGTCAAACGCTCATAGGTGATAGGTTTCCTAGACATTCCGCTCCCCTAAATATGCAGTGAGTTAAAAAAATGTTTAAACTTAGTAATAATGTAAAGAAACTTATATCTAATATGTATTCATGAAAAATTTTATTGAAACAATCTTTTTCTTTTTTCTCGTGTAAACTTTTTTTAATAAGCCTACTTTTTTTTTCTTGTAATATATGCATATAGGGTAATGTAATTGAAGTTCCTATCGTTTATAAATCTCGCATATAGTTACATGTAAATAGTAAACATATAAGTTGTAAAAGTAGTAAATAAAAATAATAACTAATTATCATAATGTGCGTTCTTCTCGAAAGTTTTCTTGGGATAATTTTTTACAGTTTTTATTATTGAAAAAATTAATTTTTAGATAAACTAGACAATGATAAAAAATATTGAAGGGGTTAAATATTTGGCTGATGCTTTGATTAAACTTTCCAAGCTACAAATTTCTCAGACTGCAACTGCCTATTTTGAGGGTTAATAATTTAAATAAATTGTAAATAAAATAAGTTTATTCAGAAAAATACATTCTTGAGTATGATTTCATAACTGAATGCTTAGCAATCGTGAATTGACATGTCATTCAAAGCACAAAAATATTAACCTTTGTAAACCATAAGCTTTATCGATATAAATAATTAGCACAAATAGTAGTACGCAATAGTTATTATATTTTATTTAAAAAAGTACAGGTGTGTACACAGGAAAAGTACAAGAGCAAAATATCTAGGATCAAAATTTCATGAGATAATTTTTCCAGATCCAGATAAAAAAAAAATATGTACGATACTGAAACCATTCAAATTAATAGTCTGAATAGTTTCCCTTCAATTTATCCAAAGAAATTAAAAGTTTATTTTTTTATGAAAAAAACATGCACTTAATAATTCAGTAATGCAATTCTGATAATCTTGCTCTCATCATAAGAATTTTATAATAAATTCAAGTATTACATGATGATAAATTTATTTTATTCTAATAAGTCAATTTTTGTGAAAATATATTTTCAGGGGCTCTGTATGATGACAATACGACAGAAAGCGAAAAAGTAGACGATAGAGTACAACCTGGTTCCAAACACACGTACAGATGGCTAATGAATGACCATGACGCTCCAACAGAAAACGATCCAGATTGCTTGACATGGATGTATCATTCCCACAGACATGGTGAAACTGAACTACATGCTGGAGTTCTCGGTCCTCTCCTTGTTTGTAAGAAAGGTGATACGAACATATTTTTAGAATTTTTTTTCTCAAGAGAAGGAGGATAATTAAAGCCATGATAGTAAACTTGATGATAAATATATGATTATTAATAGTCTAATGGAAAGTTATAAATAATTTATGTATTGTTAATAGTCGAATGGATACACACAAAGAAATGCAGAAAATTAAGTAGGCATGCTAAATGGAATGGTTGGATTTCTGAGTAGCAAAAAAATGGTATCGGTATGAAATTGCATTAATCAAAAGCGCTGGTTTATCATCTTTCATTTTGTGATGATATAACTATTAAACTTTCTGTCATGAGTAAAATTGCTTGGGTCGTATGATTAGATGATTAAAGTTATATATAATTAAGTATTTTTATTTGATAAATATTTATGAACATTTTGATACACAAAGAGTTTTGTTTTATGAGAGATTGATGACCCTTTCTAATTGTTGTCATAGTCGGGTAAAAAGTTGTACTGAAAAAGGGGGAGAAATTTTAAGTATTTATTTCTCGTCGAGCATTAGTGGCATCGTTCAGTATAAGCAAGCTGGCAAGTTGTAAAAGATATTGTTGATATCTAATCAGTAATGTGTGGTTTGAAATATTCAGGGTAAAATTGAGATTTTAAAAGCTCTATGAAGAGACTTTACAGCGATTCATTTAGTTTATGTTCTAGTAAATAGGTTTAAAATTCAATTATTAAAATCGGAGTAGATAAAATTTATACGGATAATTTATGCTCTTTTAAGTTAAATGGAAACAATACCACATAAAGTTCTGAAATGAAGAATACTTTTATTGAAATGCAATCTGGGGAAAAATAAAATGTAATTTTTAATTTAAGCAATTAAATGTTGTAAAAGCTCATTTTCTAAATTTGATTATCACAGGAACATTGCAGAAAAAAGAAGTGGATCGTAGAGTTGTGTTAGTTTTTATGAATTTTGATGAAAGCAAAAGTATTTATATTTATGAGAATATTGACAGACAGGCTCCATCAATGAGAAAAGAAGAAAAAGAAACGCTGAAAAAAGACGCAGAATTCAGAGTAAGTTTCGTATTTAATTAATTTACATTTATGATTTAAATAATACTTTTTTTCTCGGAAAGTAATTAAAAGTCAACTGCTATGATTTAGGTCAACTTAATTTGTAAATGTGATTTTTAAAAATGAGTGAATTATACACAATTCAGTCACATTATTGTGTCCATCGTCTACCTTCGAAGTTAACATGAAATAACAAGCACAAAAGATAAGGGGCAGAAGTCACTTCGGCTGGCCGGGATGTCTGATGCCAGAGTGACCCTTTACCCCTACATCATCTGGTGAAGATCGTTGAGGTGGAAAATCTTCTAGTCCTTGTAGCCTAGAAATAGAACAATTTTGCAATCANCTACTTGGAAAACCAAATTCGTGCTGCCACGCTACCCCCTCGCAATGTGAGGGAATCAGAAGACCAGTTGGTGAGCGCTTGGTACCAGATACCTCAGATTACCTATCAGCACCTTGTGGAATTAATGTCACTGCGGGTGCTAGCAGTTTTGAGGGCTAAAGGTGGTCCTACATGTTATTAGCAGGGTGGTCATAATGTAATGGCTCTTCGGTGTATATCAGGTAGCTCCTAAGTTCTTATTAAAAAAATACAATTATATTTGTTTAAAAGAATCAGGAAAAACCAGGGCTCGAAAAAACTCAGAAATTTTACCTGTCCCTGAGGACGGCTTGTCCAACAACGAACCCGTCCTCCTTTGAAACTAACCCGTATCTTCTAAATAAATAAAAATATAATTTTCTCTTATTTATTACTAACATTTATATAAATTGCACAATGAATTAGTAGTTACAAGGATTACAAATACTAAGATTACACTATACAGTAATGAATGAAATACTAAGACACTAATAGTAATCTAGTATTTCTTTTATGAAATAATTTAATGACAAAGGTCAAGTTATCTGGAATGTCAATTTATCCGAGGATACAGCGTTTTTTAAATGAATCAAATATGACGCTTACCAGTTCCACAATCAAGCCAATGATTTTTAGAGGTTTCTGCACAGAAATCTGAAGGGGGTTTTCCATTTAGGTAGATGTTCATAATTGCTTTTAACGCTTCTTGTTTAAGAACAGTACATCATGTGTTTTTTTTTGTTTTTTTTGTTTTTTTTTTTGTAAGTTCGTTGCTGAAAAGCCTATTTTAACTGCTGCAGTACTCCCAGACAGAAAAAAACATTAATTCCACCATGTGCTGTATGTTGCTGTATTGTGGGTCATTTTGCCGCATTAGGTCTTAATAAGTAGCTTGGGCTAGAAGGGCTGAGTTTTCTGGTGTTTAACGATGCTATGTATCTTAAATTTTAATGACACCCATTAAAATTTAAGATGTATGCCAACAAAAATTGAAAATGTATCACGAACATTAACGGGAAAAGAGCCGTCCGTGCGGACGTCAGATTCGAGAAATTCGTTGTCCGCGGGGAATTTCTGACGGACGGGTTGTTTTTCGAGCCCTGGGAAAAACCATTTCTAAAATAAAATCTAGGTTACAACTTACTTACTTACTGTGACGTTAACAAATTATCCATACTACATTTTTGATTTAAAAATCCATTTTTTTTCTTTCAGAACGGATGATATCAATCTATTTCCAGCAAAATTCACAACCAGTTACATGGTAGCAAGACGAGTTGGTGTTTGGCCTATTCGCTGTGAGGTTGGATCCCACGCGCATTGTAAGTTTTTTAAAAGAACAATGCAATTAAATAAAACCTCATGCAAAAATACAAAGCGCAATAAACTACAAAAATCTATTATTAACCTTCAAAGTAAAAATAGATCATTAAAATAAACTTACAATATAATTCTGTGCAAGATTTTAACATTCAACTTTAAAATAAAAATAAAATTTTTTCAGGCATTTCATAAGCATTTTATACCATATATCTATATATACTACTTATAAAAAGTAACAGAACTGTAGATATAGAACTAAAATTATACCCCCAAACATTAAAAATGCATAATTTTAAAAATAATTGTCGTAGTCAAGTAATAAATAATATTTTTTGTAAAATTTCATATTAAAGCACCAGTGATCCCCGAACATGAAAAAAGATGCATAAATAATTTTAAGAAATATCCGAGCTAAATTCGGAGAAAATATTTTTATGTTTGCAAAATTTTATATTAAAGCATACTAAACAAAAGTTGATTAGTTGATTGAAAAGTTGATGTTGTAAGGCAGAGGGAATGGATGTAAAACGACGAGAATCTACTCAATGACTCGGAAATCCTAAAAAGCTTCTCGACTAAAAAACACATTTGTAGTCGTATTTAATGAAATATTTCATTTTAATTTCTGTAAAATATAGCTTTTAAACGAACTTGAAAAAGAGTTCGCTGAAAATAATGCATGAGTTAATTGAATTTAAAATTTATTTCTACTCATTTCATTTTTATTTCGATAAAATATTATTTTAAAACAAACCTGAAAAAGACTTCGCTAAAAATCAACAATCACGTGAGTTAAATTAAATTTTAAATTTATTTCAATAAATTTTCTTTTTATTTGAATAAAATATCGTTTTAAAACAAAATTGAAAAAAAGTTCACTAAAATAAAGAATTACACGAGTTAAATTAAATTTAAAATTTATTTTATTTCATTTCAATAAATTACATTTTTATTTCAATTAAATATTGTTTTAAAACAATCTTGGAAAAGAGTTTGCTAAAAATAAAGAACTACATGAGTTAAATTAAAATTAAAATTTATTTCAGCTTATTTCATTTTCATTTCAATAAAATATCGTTTTAAAACAAACTTGAAAAAGAGTTCGCTAGAAATAAACAACTACATGAGTTAAATTGAATTCAAAATTTATTTCATTTCATTTCGATTCGTTTCATTTTTATTTCTATAAAATATCGTTTTAAAACAAACACGAAAAAGAGTTCTCCAAAACTAAACACTTACATAAGTCAAATTAAATGTATTATTTGGAAAAATATCTTTAAGAACGGTTTAATATTGATCTGTATCAATAATTGTCTGTATTTTTTCCTCAAATAAGCTGGCATGGAAACATTCTTTCGAGTTCGGCAATGTGAGAATTCTAAACCTGATGAACAAACGACAGTTAAAGGAAAGTTTAGAGAAATATACATTGCAGCTGAAGAAGTTGAATGGAATTATGCCCCAACAGGTTTTAATTTTTTAAGTGGCACAAACCTCACAGATGATGCGTAAGTATATATGTGACATCATTACATATTCATGTATGTTACATTATCTCATGTTCGTTCAAAACGTTTAATTACATTAAACTATAAATTAAAAGCAAATTGCTCATTTATTGTCTAATCAATTTATATTTTATATACTTCTAGAGAGAAAAACACCCTGTTGTCCAAAACTAAAACTTAGTTTTCTATGCTAATTCTTCAGTTTTCTAAGAACAGAATATAAAAAAGTAGTATAAAGTAATAATAATAAATTAGTAATATCAGGAAGTAAAACATAAGTAATTAGAAATATAAATTAGATATTTTTTTAAGTTGTTTTTAATTAAAAAATAATACATATTGACGCAATTGTAAGATTTTCTAATGACTTGCTCTGGGTTTATTGCAAACATTCGAAATTATACGAAAAAAAGGCAAAAATTATCTTTTCTTTCATTTGCTGAAAGATTTTCTCATAAGTATTTCAAGCATAGTTAGGCTATCAAAGCACAGAAAGGCTAATTTCAATAATAATATTAAAGAAACAAAATCCCAAAATTTGACTTTTAAAAAAAATCGAGAAAGATTCGATTTTTCATGACAAAGCAATCACACACGGGTTTAGAGAAAAAAATTTCCGGCCAAAAAATTCTAACCAAGTAGGCATTATTGGTTCAAAATACGAGAATTACATTACTGTGACTGATTAGAACCTTTATCTGTTCCATTAAAAAGTGAGACTGAGCTACATGATATAACGAGACGTAATGTAAATATTACAGACATGTACGACGTGACTGTATTGACGTGAATTGCAACAATCAAAACTTTTAGAAGTGTAGTTAGATACACTGAAGTGGTGTTTTGTTTAATACGCAATTTAACCCCCCGAGTAACAAAGAAACAATGCGTGTGTAATTGCAGAATACGAAACATTAGAGATGTAAGATAGTTGCAAGCCGAAACATTTAATCAGAAATAATTCCAATACAAATTGCCGAGGTCAAATGGCTGTACATTTTAAAGCGAAGATACGACACTACAATGTGAAAAATTCTGAATCAAAATACAGTGAAAAACATTAGCACTCTAATTGCCTGTACTTTTTATCGTCATTTCGGTTTTTAACGGGACAGGTTACGGGGATAAATATTTGACATACCGTAAAACCACTGAATCACTATAAATTAAATAATTATTACTGTAAAAATTACGGTATAATATTTTTCGGAAAAAAATGGATTTTACGGATGATGCAGCGAAAGTTCTGGAACTTTATACCATAATTTGATCCAGAATTTTTTACAGTATATTGACATGATGGCGCAAGAGCCTATACGTTGTATAAAATTGATGAATGGTTGGAACAATATAAATAATATATCATGATATCATATAGTCTGAATTTACCCCACTTATATTTTAATTCATTCGAGGTTTTAAATGTAATTTTAGACGGTAAGCTATATTTTGCGGGTCAGAAAGATTTTTAAACAACGTTTCAGAAATTATCCATCAGCCTAACTAATTACAGCACAATAAAAGAGTGTTTTCGTATTAAAGCCACTTTGGGATAAATGTCTCAACATTAAAGAGATTTTCTAAAACGTTACGGTTTCCCCTAACTCAAACGCTAACTTTATGTGAACTTCACAGCGAAAAATTCCCAACAAATCACTGTTTCGCTTAGAGATGTAAAATAATGTTACCATTTCGATTAAAGTAGTGAAAACTTACACAACAATATTATTACAAAAATACGATTGTATTAATCCCTTCCTTCTCGCTCCCGTGAAAATGACGGGATGAGGTTTCGCCCTCTATTTCTCGCTCCCGTGACATTCCCGGGCTGGAGTGTTCAGAAGTAACGCGCCAATAAGAATAAAACTAATTCAATTTTTTTGCCCGGAAAGCATTTTATTTTTCATTTTACACACCAGATGGCAGAACCAGGATATTTTTAAGGTAATTGTAAATAGTTAGTTTATCTTAAACTAGATATCGGCACTAATCAAATAAGTGTATAATATACGTGTATATAAAAAATAGGCACTTTCATGACCGCTTTCTTGAAAAATGACCGATCGTTAAGAATATGAGTACTTCCTTATATAACCCTCTTAATATAGGTTATATTAAATTATTATAACATAATCATCTGCTCTAATAATATTTTAGGTATTCTGAACCATATTTTGTGAAAGGCCCACACAGAATTGGCGGAATATACAGAAAAGCTGTTTATCGAGAATACACTGATGCTACTTTTAAGACACCAAAAGTGAGAGGACCGGATGATATTCATTTAGCTATTATGGGACCTACAATTAGAGGAGAGATTGGGGATATCATCAAAGTGACATTTAAGAACTTGGCGTCCTGGCCGTATTCCATTGAAACGCATGGGGCATACTACTTACCAAATGGTAATTTATCAGAATCTGTATATGCTGAAATATATCATTAATGAATTGATTAATTTTTTTAATTGCCTTTCGTAAGTAAATATTGTATCAGTAAGAGAAATATTCCATTAATAATCGAAGAATTTGATTATCATTTTTGAAGTGATTATAATCCACTTAAAAGTGATGAACCCGAGGAACCAAAAATGAATACGTGCGGAATATTATTCTCTTTCATTTCTTCTTTATTCTAATTACGCTATTTTTTTACTTCCTCCATTGTTATCCAGTTTTAAATTTTAATTTATTAAATACTGTTACTATTGTAATAAAAATAGAATTAAGAGCGTGAAAATAAATGCATAAGTAAAAAAAGAAAACCAAAAAAATAACAATATTTATTAAAAAAAACAATAATATAAAAATTAGTAAAATTTAATTAATAAAATAAAAAATCTTCAAAATAATTACATATTTCATCCCTTTCTAGCCCCAAACATTAACTTATAACTGAAAAAAAGCAAGTAATAAATGAAAAATAGATATATTAGTTAAATAAATTTCATTTTAACATTTTCTTACCACTCTTAGAAAAAAGTATGATCAAAACTAACAGAATATGATAAAATTTACCATTTTTCTCGCTTTGTGGAAACACCAAAAAGCTCAGTAAATTTTACCGATTTTTTTCAAATTAACAATAAAATATGGTTTTATATATTATTAAATATCTGTTAAAATTAGATAAATATAGTAATTTTATTATAATATCTCAAAGCATGGCATTAAAAACCGTTTGTTCGGTTAAACTTACTTTAGAGTATTGTATATTTTACTAAATGTGTGGTAAAAAGAACTATAGTTTTAAAAACCAGAATTTCCACTTCATATGAAAGAAAAAATTACGAAATGAATAGTTTAAATAGTATATATTAGTCTTTTAAAAAATGAAATGATTACAAAGTTCGCTAATTTTACAAATTTTTTCTTCTACCTCCAAAATGCCCCTTTATTTTCCTTCAATGATTTTGATCTTTTAAGATGCTCCCACCGCGCATTTTGATTTTGTCTGTTTTTGAATAAGCAGGCATAACTAACTTCATATATGCGTTGATTCCAAATTCCGCAAGAAAAACATTGCTGATAAGCAGTTTATTACAATTTTATTATAATTTTAAATTTATAAGTTATTATAATTTTCAGAGAATTAGAAATAAAGGCATAGGAAAAAAGAGTTTTATAAATGTGTTATTAATGTGTTAATTTATTTATTAATGCATTTATTTATGTATTATTAATGTATTATTAATGTATTTATTAATGTGTTAATTAATTAAAATCATATTGTTGTTCATTAAAATCTAATTCGAAGAAGTAATAAAATATATAGTTTTCGAATATAGGCTAAAAAATATTATTTTACAAGTTTGAGCACCACGATATTTTACAAATATAAAAAATTAACCATTTTAATTAAAACAAAGGGGTTTTTATAATAATGATTAAGACAAATATGTTTTTTTTTAATTGAACGCGATTTATTTAGAGTCAAAAGCCTCACCGACGTTTCAAATAAATCAATTAAAGAAAAACGGAAAGAGATAGATTCTACTACTAATTTATTTATTCTTAGTTAGGTTCGAAATTTTTTGCGAAGTCCAGAAAAAGAGAATGCTGGACTTTGTTCAAGAAAAGTGATAATACAATCAGTGATAATCCAATTCAGAGACTGAACTATTAATATCATAAAATGAAAATCATAGGAATTTAAAATTCAATTTAAAAATTTTCTTTTCAGAAAACATTATCAAATTAAATCAAATCTAAAAAACGAATATTACTTCATAGTGAAAATTTTCACATCAAATGTTTCTTTCTTCTCCAAATTGTATCTAAATCCTATTTAAAGATAAATTTTAGAAACATCTGAACCAATAACTAGAACAACTTTAGTACGAAGCTTCTGTTTTGAGTACATCTAGAAAGTTCCAGAAAGTTCTTAGATCTTACTACAGGAAGACGCCAAAATCAGTAAATTGGCTTATAGCTTGGATAGAGGGACAAATAAGAAATTAATTTCAATCGAATTCAAATGAAATCGAAACTTAAATAAAAATAAAAGTGATAAAAGGAATAATAGATAATAAATGAAAGATGTAAAGATAGAAAATATGTGATAAAAAACATCACAGCTCTGACTCTTTTGCCGTTGGCTAAATAGCAACCTGATCTATCTCATTCATCATTGTTTCTCTCTTAGAAAACTTATTAGATAGGATCGAGATGGCAGGGATAGCAAGTATGTGGTTGATTTTTCAGAAAGTGCGACATTCATGAGGAATAAGACATGATTTATGAAGTATTTTTTTTAAATACCAATTATTGATGAAGTTAATCTACTTACTCTTGACAAGAATGAAACATAATTCCATATAATCCATGAAAGAAGCAATTAATAAACGTGTTTGACCAAAAATGACAAAGAAAACTGACACTACTTTATCATTTGAAGGATTATTTTTTTTTCTAAATAAACAAAGTGAATGCATTTAGTGATTTACTCTGAGAAGTATTAGAGCATTTTTCATTGAATCTTTAACCATTTGACACAGAATTTTTATTAAACATATTTTTCATTCTTTTTTTTCTCATTATTTTGTATTAGCTTAGATCAAACTAAAGAAAAATATTATCTTTGGCAATTTAGTAATTTATTGTTAGAAAACACCGGTCTCTTTTTCTGAGTTAAAGGTAAGATCTTTCAAACACGGCTCGCTTCGAAATAATAATGTTTCAAACTTCCACTTATTTGCCGTTATTTAAATCAAAGAGAAGCAGTTATTCCTCATTGAAAGTTCTTTAAGTTACAAAATCAAAACAAAACTTTCAAACTGTTTTTTTGGATCTTATGTTTTAATACAAATATAATTCCGATAATCTAACAGATTTTTTTAAACTATTAGACTTCTTATATAATTAGAAAATATGAAAATATATTTTTGCTAGTAATTAAAGCGTCAGAAAAAATACATAAAAGGGACATCGGTGTCCTATCTTCGTCAAAAGGTTAAAATTGTAAAACAGAATCTTCCAACACTTTTTGAAAAATTTGCAGTCTATTTCATTACTATATGAATATTATTATACATTATAATATATAGAAATATTTGCGTGGTAATAAATTGGGCATTTAATAAAGCAATTTTACAATATATTTTATTTTTGTATGTGCCTGGTTTGACACTCACGCGCGCAGAATAGTGACACACATACACACAAATAGACAGGCAGTCTCTCCATTCTATTATTACAGGTGAATTTATTGCTCCTTAAATGCGCAATTGTAAGGCTTTAATAGTATTTAAAGAAAAGAAAACATTCTTTCAATGAAAATTAAATTAAATAAATGCAAAAGACCCAAATGCCACACTTTCTGAAAATGCTCCATATGCATTAATTTTATTATAAGCATTAGTATCTTGAGCGTAACACGAAGGGTTAAAAATCGCTCTCGGACTGGCCAGCAACGGCTTTTTCGTTCGCGAATACAAGTAACTCTTTATTAATTGCCTTTATTACAGTAATTGCCCATTTTCACGAACTGACATCTTCATGATTTAGTAACAAACCAGAAAAAGGAATCAGCTTGAAAATCAGCTTTGTTGGAAACAACTATGCTGCGCCATACTTCACGTCATAAATTTGTTTTCGTAAGACATTCACGTTTTGCAGTTCACATTTTATCAAACCGCCTTCTTGGGAAGTGAAAGAATAGGAATGGGGAATAAGGGAATCGAAATAAAATTAGGGATTGGAACGAGTAAAGGTCTTGCCTTTATAAATATTTTTTTAACGATTTTACCACTAAAATATTTTTTTAATTGCTTTTTTACGTATCAACCTATTTTTAACGTATTTTATTGTATTTCGCATGCATTAATTTCTCTATGTAATGTGGATTTTTTTCCAATTATAATTATTATTACAGGATTTTTTTCATGGCAGCAATAAAAAACTGTTTTATATATGTAACATAAAAAGCTTCAATTAATCTTTTTATGTTAGTTTCTTTTATAAAACTTCATCCCAATTAATTATTCTAATCGAAATACTTTCTCACACTTTTAAAAGCCACATCCTGTTCTTAAATCTATTTTTGGCTCAAGTATGCATTTAATTAAGAGCAGGACATTTTTCCCTTTGCTCTGTGTGGGAAACGTTCGATCTATTTCATAAACCAATAGCAACTACTAAGAGTTCCCTCTTTCCCTAAATTAAGACATATTACGGATTTTACTTTGCAAGATTTTCCCTAACATATAACCAAGGAGCACAACTTTTCGTGTTCACTTTTACTCACTCTCATGACTGCTGTTGTCTAATAATTAATAAATAAATTTTGTACCCTCCTTCCCTACCTATGACCTGTTTTAATCGTTCCACTCGGCAACGACGTTATAAGCCGACAGGATTAAACGGTCGGGAAGGGGGTACGGTACATCAACGATATGGAATATCTCTCATTTGAAATTAAATAAATCAACTTCAGAAGAGGGTACATCAAAAATATGGAATAACTTCAAATCATTTATTCAAATGAGCAGTTAGTAAATAAGCAGTCAAATTCTTCTTCAACTAATGGCAAAGAATAATTCATCCAGTAGCTTCAACAAAAAATAAACTCTTCAATCATCAAGCGTTTAGTTTATTATAAATGATACCTACGCACAGTGGAACTAAACGATCATCCGTTTTCCATGTCTATGCTGCATATTTTGTCTACGTTCCTGAGACTACTAGAAAGCTGAGCTTCAATTTCTTTCCTTGGACAAAAACTGCATCGAACTCCTGATAATTAAAATGTTTTTATTGAAACCCTATCCCTTTGAGAAAGCGTTGATTTTGCCACTCTTAAGTGCTGAGCTGGATTTTATCGTCGATGAATTGTTTTCACACCCCGGAATGGTTTACGATGGTCTCCTTAGATGTTCGACATTCCCCTCCCACCTACTCAGAACTCAAAGAAAAATAAGCTTCAATTTCTCCATTCAGTGTTAATTTACAATTCATCTTAACGAAGAAAAAAAAAATTTCCCTAGCAGCTCTCGTCTTTGCTTTTGGAATTGTGCTCACGGAATTTCAACGCACTTTCATCGCTGATGTTGTGGTTTTCAAAATATCTTGGACTAATTCGAACATTTTCACGCATCCTTTGAGTTAAATTTTTTTACAATTCTCATAAAACAATTTCTTAAATGATTATGATTTTAATTTTTTCCCATATTTGATGTTTCAAAGTGAAACTACTTTTTATATATTGAT